CGGTCCCTTCCAATTTGATGAAATTGGCTTTATAGTTCTCAACGATGATGATGAAATGATTGAAAACTCTCCTGTGAAAAAGCTCACTGAAACTATTCTTCAACCGCCCATAAATCATTATTCATTAAACTACGATTTCATAGATCTAAGACACCACTTTGCATGAGAGAGCACACCTCTTCACGATTGCTCCACTAAGAGAGTGTGGGGTATTCTTCACCCTCTCCTCGATTCCATGAGAGTTTCACATTCAGAATAAGCCCCAAGTACTGCACTTACTCTCAGTAGCTATGGTCTATGTTTACAAATAGAAGCTCTGTTCTAGGATACAATCTAACACTTTTGCTCCGTATTGAATTAATTAATAAAGATATTATGAAGGAATCATTGATATCTGTGAGTCCTCTTTTTATGTCAATCTGCGGATTAATGTGACGTGATCTCGGCCTTGCTTGACTATTTTATGGTCAGCGATTTTTAGATTTCTGTCGTCTTGAGTCTTCAAAAGAGTTTACTGTCGGTTCGGCTGTGGTAAGGAGTTTAATGCATCTACACTTTTCCCCTATAAAAAGTCTTATTGCTCATATCATCGCCTGGATTTTTATTCGCCAACTTTTCCAATGCGCACCGTTGCTTTTTAATTGAAAACAAATGTGCTTTGTATCTTTCGTTCTTATTTGTGCCATACCATAATGCCACCCTTCCTTGTGTTCCAGTTTACATTTACTCACACACATTGGCTGCTGCTTTGACTTCCATTTCGCTTACCGTCGCGCGGTGTTGCAGCCTTTCCAAGCTTACTTTTCGCTTTCGACACCTCAAAGCTGCGTTGCGCACAAAGTCGCGCCAAAAAATTTACGAAGACAACCAAAACAAGAAAAAGAAAGGCGCTGTTGTAGTTGCGGCATATTCGTCGCCTCGCCTTGTCCGCCGACCGTTTGCGGCGCGGCGTTGCGTCGTTGATATCGTAATTAAGATTTTGTTGCTGTAATTACTTTGTAATTTTATGTACTCGCCTTTAAACCGCGCGAATATTTTGTGTTGGTTGCTTTGACGCGGTGAGGATGCAGACACTTGGTTGCTTCTTCTTATATGCGAAAGCTCGGAAAGACGGAAATGGCAGAAAAATGAAACTGCAATAACGATTAAGACAGTAAGTGTATGTGTGTGGGTAAGTCCGGTCTGCGTGCACGATAGCTAACGTAATTACTATTCTTCCCACACATTTCAGCTGGTGTTCATTTCCTTTAGGCGACACCATCAAATACCCACAGCATATTGTACAGCTGAGCTTAGACTACAAACAATAAAAGTGCGCTACGTTCATCGTCGTAAAGTGACCAATTGGCTAGGTCCCTAATTTATATTAGTAAACACACTCCACAGTAGTAGAGAACCCAAAAACAAATCAAAATTTCTTGATCACTTGGAGTAAAAACATGGCTGAGGTTCAGTAAGAAAGAAAGTTGAGCTCGGCTTTCCATAGAGGTTCTCGATAGAGGTTATGTCGAAGGTTTCATCCAAAATCGATGGATTTTATTGGTAAAGGTAACTGTGATACCCCAAAATTCATCAAAGTGCCTCACGTCATAGATCGACGAAGCGTTTGAGCATACCACAAATTTATTAAGACGGCTAATATCATTCCCATCCACTTAGCTAGGTTCTTCCAAGGTATCTCTCCCGAATAAATCAGTTAATATCAGTGTGGCAAAAAACAAACGGGAAATAGAGGACAGAGGAAAGTGACCAGATGATTCTACCTTCCTGCAGAGAGCTTTGGTAAACAGCGTCCAACAAAATATGCAGTCAGAATACCAATAATCGGAAAACCAACTCGCTTCCAGTCGGATGTATTTGAGTTAAGGAAGCCGGGGTGACCGGGTTTGCAGTTTCCCTTGATTCCTCTAGGACCGGGCACCCAGACAATTCGAACATTGAAAATGCTTGAAGCTGTTGTTAATGTGTACTTTTCTTCTTATTCCAAAGTTCCTAAACTTTCAAGGTCCAGAAATTTTAAGAAAATGTCACATTTTTCGAAACAGACTAACACAGCAAACATCTCGATCTAGAATTTGAGTAACATTTTGACAAATTTTTCCTCACAATAATAAACTCAGCCCCAAAGTGCTTTCCCCTTTCCGTTCGGGCGAGACATGATTCACACCGAAAGTTGAGTAATAGTCTTTTAACTACAGTCTAATAGTCTGAGTGAATGGAACAAACAGATATATGTTTTTATTAATTTCATACTTTAGTTGTTTCGGTAAGACCTTTTCCCAAAACTCATTTCCTAAACGCCGAGTAGCAAACTGATAACAGCTCTCACATCTTATTGATAAGCATATTTGATACCATTTCAACAACCAATTAGTTACTCATTAGTCAATCAAGAAAAGTTTGTCTTCGACAGTTTTGATGAAAGTCAAAGTTTTGCAGGAAAAAAGTCAAAGTTTTTCAGAGAAAAAGGTAGGAAAGGAAGAAAGAAAAGTGCAGTTGGATTCAACTGGAGTTGAAAGAGATAAGTAAGGCACGTTAGACTTGCTCTTAATGTTGCATATGTGATGGTCTGAGAAGGCAATTAGATAGGGGATCGAGAAGCAAAACATCGTTCCTTTTATTTTAAATTTATTTTTCTCTTTTACTAATTCAAAAATTCGGAGATTTTGAACCGCCGAAGAAAATGCAAAAATCAGCAAAAGAAAGTAAATAAAATTATTTTGCGAATATACAAAAATCACAACAGGACGGTGTTAATACGAATAGCAAAGTTTTTTTTTCTTTTTAAACCCATTAGAAAAACTTTTGTCTACAAATATAAAGTTCTGCCGAAAGCGAAAGTTTATGCCTTTGCGCTGCACGGCCACAGCGTTCGGTCGCACGTGACGTATGAGTGACCAGCACGTGCTGGTGAAGCGCACGCCAGTTGCCCAACTAACTGAGGTGTATATGCCAGCAGGCATGGCTGTTTGTGTGTGTGTACGCGGGCGTGTGTGTCGGCCAGAAGGTGCGCTCGTTCAACATAATTTATTTTATTTTCCAATTAAACTATGAACTGACCGCAGGATCGGCCGCCGCTGCTTGGCCGAAATGGCAGAAAAACAGGTTCGCGGGTGAAAAATAACGGGTCAGGCAGGTGGTCAGTTGATGCTTGCTGTCTGACAGTCGGCATAATTGCATTGATTGATGTGATTTTCAGCCAGTTAACGCTGTTTCGGTTGATTTCTTGTTTGGCGGCAGCCCACTTGCATGTGTGTGTGTGTGTGCGTTAACAATCTTTGCGGCAATCAAAACGTAATTTGTAGCCTTGTCATTGTTGTTGTTGGTGTAATGCTGACACCGCTGTACGCGTGCTTGCGTCAAGCATGATAAATGAAAGCCAAACAGCAAGCAAATCAAAATAAACAACCGTTTGTGCGTGTGCGCATATATGCACGAGCACGCTGCTTTGGTATGCGTGAGGGTCACTGGCTGCACTCGCACAGCATTAATCAATTCCTCTGTATATTTGCATTGGCTGTACAGTTATTTTTAATGTCATTTTTCGCTTTTTTCCCCGTCTTCTCCTTGCAGATCACATGGAATTTCAGCAGTACATACTATCATATATACCGTTATGCACACGTAAATGATTGTAAAACAACAACAACATGATATGCTGCTGCAGCAGAACAAGCGATAATTGAAATGAAAGTGTGCGCCAAGCAAAAGCAAAAAGGATTACGGCACATTTCCATTAAAATACGAAAAGTGTGAGTCTGTGTGTGTGTGCTAAAGCGCTTGCATATGCCTGCGACACAAAAGCGAAAAGCGTGTAGAAATGCAAAGTGAAAAAGTGAATAAAAAATTGCAGGCAAACTATAAATAAAGGCAAAGCGAGCGTTGTGTAAATGAATTTTCATTGCCGCGCCGAAATGTATGCTACAAAAAGCGTGTAAATGCTAAAGTGTCTGGCGATTGTGCACTTTTCCATTGTTAAACTTCATAGGAAGTTAAAATACATTTGCGCACCAAATGACAAACAATAAAAATTACAACAACAGCACCAGTGCAAAAGTGTAAGCGTTTAATTGAAAAGTGTGAGTTGGCATAGTCGTGCAAAAAAAATAAAAAACAACGAAAGGAAAGAGAAAATGTGTCGCCTTTGTGCTTTTGAAGTGAAACAGAAGCCATGAAATGACAAACGAAAAAAAAGAGGAATTGAAGATAAGGTAGAGCTTGACAAAGCAAGTCTAAAATAACCGTGTGAGAATAAATGCCATAAAGCTTAACAGATCTAAAACAAAAATAGTGGCAACGGACACACTAAAGATTAACACAAAAATAAGTGCCGTTTTTAAAAACTGTTTATTTTAAATCTGTTTAAGGCAAGCAATGCAGCTGCCGCATGCGTTGATAACAGCAAAATATGCAACAGTAAAGTTCTCATACCCCGGCAACGGTACACTGTTCAAACGCATTTGTCTTGCTGTCTGACTGGGAGCAGATATAAATAAAAAAATATAAATAATAATAACCAAAAAAATAGGAATATACGTAGCATACATTTTGGCGCGCGTCCCTGGTAAAATTTCGAGAAAATAAACTCACGCGTAATTTATCATGCTTTATTGCCAACCCGCTGCGTGCGGCGCTAAAATTTATTCCTTTTCGTTGTACGGCAGTTCGTTTTATTGTTGTTGTTATTAATGTTATTTTTGCCAACATCAGCAAAGACGCGCAGACGCGCAGAAGTTAACGAAGCTTTTTTTTATCAGCGGTCGCTGTTGTTGCCGCAGCCGTCGTCGTTACCGTCGCCTACTTGCCACACGACGCCTAATTTTGTGTCAACTCTAAGTGTCGTTTATTTGTTTAATATAAAAAAACGTTTCTTTGTTGTTGTTAAATATTATGGTAGAATGTGTTAATGTATTAAATTTTTTGTTGTTGTAATCTTCCCGGCTGCTGTCACATTCGCGATGCTATTGTTGTTGTAAAGGTACGAAAACAACGCAAGCAAAATGCCTGGCGGACGTCGAGGACTTGTTGCACCGCAGAACACATTCCTGGAGAACATCATACGGCGCTCGAACTCACAACGTAAGTGCCCAGTTAGAAGTGACATTTTATTTTTAGCTAAATATAAGAAAATCAGTGTAAAAACAACATTCTTGAGTGGCTAATAGAGCTTTGTTTACTTCCAAATGAAAAACTGAAGGATTTTAGATAACTCCTAAATGTATGCTTCTGAAGGGGTTATGATTTCCTTGCTATCGCTTATGCTTTATCAGAAGAGCTGAAGTTGATAAACAGCCCAATTTTAAATTCAATATAAGATAGAGGAAGAACAGAATCAAAGAAGTAAACAAGAGATGAGTTCAGTAAGGAAATTAATTCATAATGTATTTCATATTGCCAAACACTTTAAATTAATTTAAAAGAAAACAAATATAATAGCGCTGAATGATCTGCGTTAATAGAGTTACTTGCAATACATATAAAACGAAGTGACTGCACACTGCTGAATTGATTGGAACTGTGCTGAATAGCGCTAAGAATGAGATTTTTCTTAATATTTGAAAATCAGAAAATTCGAAGAGAAGTTCTTACCATTTTCAGTTGTAAAATCTTCAAAAATTAGGATATTTTGTGGTAATAAGGGAACTGAATTGGGCGAAATGTGATATTTTGCAGTAATAAGGGAGTTGAATTGCGATAAATGTGAGGTAAGTGTTCAAAAACGTACTTAATGTGCATTGCTGAATCGCTTGAACCTGCGCTGAATAGCGCTTACAATAATATTATTATAAATATGCGAATATTTTGTCGGATAATTCAAAAATTTAGCGCAAGTCTGCATTTTAGATAAATTTTTGGCACATCAAAATTAAGTTCCTACCATTTACAGTTGCAAAATCTTCAAAACCTAATCGACTTAGCTTGGAAAATACTCGTAAGAATTCAGAAAAATTTAAAAGAAATATCTTGTGTATTTTATGTAACTTCCATGCATCCAGGCTTCTATATAATGACATATTTCGAGATTGTTTAAATTGTCCCAGTGCGTCAAATGTTGCCCACATGAGCGAAATAAACTGCAAAAACATAGCTATGGACTTCATGCGTCTTATTTGTAGCTATTCGGAAGAGTAAGAAAATAAAGCGGATAGAGCAAAATTCCAGCGAAATCACATTTATGTCAGTACTTGACATGCAACATGTATTGAGGCAGATAAATAAATAAAACAGTAAAAAGCTGCACAGGTGCGTAGACGAGAGCGTGCCACACAGGCAGACACAGCCACTAAGCTGGATTAAGTGCTTTTTGAACTGTCAAGTTGCCAGCGCGCTGACAGTTAGAAAAACCGCATGGAAGCGCTCTGCGGTCGAGCTATATTTACACAGGTGAACTACTTGCAACATGCCACATGCATGTGTGTACCTCTGTGTGCGCCGTAAGGCTGTAATATGAAGTGATTCCATTAATGTTGAGCGGATTATGAACGGAAAAGTTTTATGCGCATCGGGCGGAGTTTAGAAGGCACGGTGCGTGAAATGCGCAAAAGCAATCAATTATATTTAGAAGATTGTTCAAAGTGCATAAAAAAATTGACGAATTTAATAATGTGGATACTCAATAACGAAAAAGTTTGCTTCTAGATCGAAAAAATTACTTTTTCAAGCGCCTTCTGTGCTCTCCTTTGTATAAAGCCATCTGATGGAGTGCCACTTTTTGTTGCTTTTGTTGTCCAGCCAATAAATTCGGTGATCTGATACTTTCGCTATCAACACGTTGCACAAACAGCGCGCCTAGTTCGTAGCAAAAAATGTCATAGCGACAAAAAAGTGCGCAGGCAAAAATATGTTGCAACAACCGCTTACAGTGCAACTCCAGCATAGTGATGGTACTCTAAGCTGGCTGCAGTGCGCTCTGCTAACAAAGTTAGTTGTATGCTTTGTTTTTTCCAAGCTCAAGCAGTGATCCCAGCGGCGCTTTATTGTCAATAACTAACACTGTTGTTGTTGTTTTATCATGTTTCGAAATATTTTTTGTTGCACGAGCAAAGCGGCGTGTTAAATGGCACGTGAAAATTGCGCACCGACCGGGCGCTGAATGACTTTGCACGCGTCGCAGAGCAATAATTCTGCTGTGCCGCTTGTCGTTGTTGTCAATGGCGCTGTCATTTTTAGGCTGGCCGTTGTGTTTTGTTGGTGCTTTTATATTGGGATGGTGTGTAATGGATGGGTCTGGGATTTGTTGTAATAATAAATAAGCAACTGTGAATTAAACAATATGCTGTATAACTCGTTAGTTAGTTTAAATCAAATTACTGGGAAATACGTTTCTGAATTGAGCTGAATAGCGCAAATATGGACGAAATACTATTGTAAAAGAAACTTTAAAGTAAAACTTGTATACTAAAGTGCGCTGAATGTGCTTGAATACCGTTACATAATGCGGAATACTAGTTGGTTTAATAAATAAACAAATGCGTATGTCACTGGTAAAATATGAAAGCAGACAAGTGTGGTATAAGTACTTAGTTCAAATTCCTACGAAAAATACATTGCTGAATTGAGCTGAATGGTTCAGATGTGCAGGAAAAATTATTTAAAAGGGAGTTTAAACGCAAAAACGATATACTACATTGCGCTGAATATTGCTGAATGCAATTAAATAATACGAAATACTAATTAATACAAGTGAATATTATATTCTATACTTGCGAGTTTAAATTAAAGTGAAGCTGAATGAAATTTTATTCAACTGTTTTACGAATTACCATCAATATATGTACCTAGTATAATTCCGCTTGCCATTTAACTGCGAAAAGTGTGATAAAAATAAGTATAATGCCGCCAAGGAAAGAGAAGTAAAAATAATACGCAGCTTATAGCCAACAACTTGTCCGTAAATAATAAACCAAAAGTAATACCGTAACAAATCGTTGTTTAATATGATAAATAGTATAGCTTCCACTTGCACAGCAAAAAGCTACAATTTTCTCTTCTTTACTGTCTACTGCTTTGTTAGTGTACGTTGAAACGTTCAAAGCGTATCGATGACACAATTAATCACAGTTGTGACTAAATGTGCTATAATAATTTAAATTACCGCTAAGCAACTGACAAATTATTGGGAGATTAGTCAAGAAAAATCAAAGGAGTTAAGAAGGGATGAGGGATGATTTTCATTATCGCAGCTTGTTCTAACAATCATAAAATGGTTCGTAATGCTAAAAATATTGAATTTATTTGAAAAGGAATGAATTTATTAACGCTGAATTGAGGTAAAACGATAAAGCTTTTAGAAATATATATAAAACCGAGTTATTGTGTATTGCTGAATTGTTTGAAACTGCGCTGAATAGTATTGACACAGAGATTTTTGTAAATATTCGATTCTTTAAGTAAATATTTTAAGACAACGAACACAAAGTTATGTTAGTACGATCATCAAGCTGCACAAATAGAAAATCCTACCAATAAAATTTTAAAATCATCAAAAACTAGGATACTTTTCAGCATCAAGCAAGCTGAATATGAGTTCGATTTCAAAATCATTTTGTTATAAGAAATGATATGAGGAAAATTTTTAGGATTGTCTATCTTTGTGATTTTGAACAAATTCTTACCGAAAATGGCTGACGGAGTTTACTTACAGCTCAGCTCAATCAGCTGAATAAAATAAAATATGGTTTGACAGCTTTATCTAGAGCTTTACTTAAAGTTTTTTACCTAACTCTATGATAATCAATGTTTAAATGCGTTTCCTGTGCGTGTGCCCAAATCTTCCGAACGTATTTGGTACGTTAATACGCTATTAAGCCATTGTTGTCCAGTCGCAGCTGGTACATACAAATTTTTCCAATTTCCGTGCTGGTTTTCAGCACCTTCACCACTGTACCGTTCAGGCCACTTGCATCAGCCTTGCAGGGGGGTGTGGGTATCTCTGCTCTCACGCAATGTTTATTTAATATCTCCCTCATTTTCCACTGCCGTCTTCCTTTTCTTTTGAATATTCATTTAACGCCACAAAATCGTTTAACACTTTGTTACACACCGCAAAGTAGACTACTTGCTGCCACTGCTTTGCATAGATCTTCCCTTTTGCCTGCTCATCGGCAAACGCAAACACAAATGACTGCTATGACTGCTCGCTTTGTGCGTTCGTCTGTTTGTCGTCTCTTTGCCTCTTTGCCCAGCTGCCGCTTGACTTTTGCCTGCATTTTTCGCACTTCACTGTATATTTGGTTTGTGTGAATTCTTTGCTGTAAACTCAACACCATTATAGGCGTTCACAGCCTTAGGCTGATTTTGCTATATTACGCTCCGCGCCTGTCTGCCGTTGCTATGCGCTTCAAATCGCACTGATTACTTTCTCATTTTAATCGTTTTTCTAATGATGTTGACTCATTGAGTCACTTGAGTCTTCTTGCCTCCACTCATTTCCCTTATTCTTCCGTTCATTTCGTCGTTTCCTTGAGTTTTTTGTTTTTGAGTAGCCTACTTATAGGCGTTCACATTGAAGTGTTTGCTGGCTTGTTGCTTTTTTTGCTGCGGGCATGCTGTGCTTGTTGATCGATGTTGTTGTTTGTTGTTGATGCCGTTGTTGTACCCTTTTCAGCTGCTCGCTGCTGTGTTGTCAACATTTGATGCTTTTATCTCGCTTAATTGTTGGCAATTTTGCACCAGCGCAGCTGACTCGGCAAAATATGTGTGAATGTGCATATATATATATACATATGTGTGTGTGAGTGTGTGGGTTGATAACTTGTAAATAACGGGTAAAAATGCTGTACTTAACTTGCTGATTCACACTTCTTGAAAGGCCCGAACTCATTTTTCGCCAATAAATATTGCTTTGTTTTACCGTTATTGTTGTCCGTATATGTTTAGTAGCTTTTCGCTTATCTGTTTACTGCTTTGTCATGACTTATATAATATCACTTTACAGAGAATTGATTTTGCTAATTAATTTTGCTGGAGCTAGCCGATTAATGGATTTTGCTGAGCGGCCGTTTTTTGGGTTTCTGTTCTAATGGCTTAAAGGAGGTTATGTGTAGGATTATGTAGAAAGAGATGTAGAAGAAGACGGT